CTGGTTGGATCTGGGAAATATTTTTCAGGTAGAGCAAATGAAATTGTTTGGCTTGAATGCTGGCTGTGAGAGAATGAGAGAAGTTAAAGATGACTTCTTGGTTTATAAACTGAGTAATGGGTAAATAATTGTGGTGACATTTGATTGTATTGTTTTGATGGAGGAAGGTATGCTTGAGGGGGGAAGAGATAAGCTCTGTATTGGACATATTAAATTTGGCCATATGTAGGTAATGTAGACATAGATAAAAGAATACAGTCAGAAAACAGACTTTTGGGGAAAGCTCATTTGTAGAAAAGGTGTGGAAGAAGACGCATCAGAAAAGGAGGCAAAGAAGAAGCAATCCATGGGGTAGTAAAAGAACCAGAATGAGAGAAATAAGGAGTAAAACTTTTAAGAAAGTGGCATTGATTCATTGTATAACCACTAGGGCAGCGGTTCTCAACCTGTGGGTCGCGACCCCTTTGGAGTCGAACGACCCTTTCACAGGGGTCGCCTAAGACAATCGGAAAACACATATATAATTACATATTGTTTTTGTGATTAATCGCTATGCTTTAATTATGTTCAATTTGTAACAATGAAATTGGGGGTCACCACAACATGGGGAACTGTATTAAAGGGTCGCGGCATTAGGAAGGTTGAGAACCACTGCACTAGGGGAAGGAAGATGAAGATGAAGAAAGAAAGAACCTTTGACATGAGCAATGAAGCAGTCTTTGGTAGCCTTCCATGAAGCATTTTTCAGCAGATTGGGTAAGGTGTTTGCCTGAGGGCAAGTAAGTTGATAAAGCAAGTGGGTGATGGGAAGTGCTCTAAACAGATCTAAAGTGCTGTATACTTAAGGCTAAAATATTGATGTTACTGTTGTCATGGAAACTAAAACCAGTTAGGAGAACTAAAAGCCATTTAAAACCACTGACTCCAGTCCATCACATCCCCTTGATCTGTTGTAAAAGATGCTGATAAAAATAGTCCTTAGAGAGTCAGAGCTCATCTAGGTTTCTTCTTTTAGATGTAGTTCCTAACCGGAAATCTTTCTCCTTTTTGAGAAGGAAGCCAGCGCCAACACCCATACCTAGTTTCTATGAAGGACAGATGGCCCACAGACTGAAAGTTCCTTATTCTCTTGCTATTGGCTAACACTGTTCATAAAGTATAACTCACAGTTTCACTTTTCTTTTAAATGAGCAAGCTGAATTACTTGGAGGAGGAAAGCAGGAGAGACAGAAGAGACGAACGCTAAGTCACTTGAAAGAAAGAAACCTCAGGTGAGCATTTTTACCTTTGTTTTGTTCATTGTTAAGACTTATACCTTGCTTGTCACTTTAGACATAGTCAGAAGAATTATTTTTGAAAAATAAGTTACTTTTGTTTGACTATAAAATTGTTTCTTACCATATACGTAGTTTAGACAATATTAAGAAAGTACAAAAAAGTGTAAGGAAGCAAATTCCACAGATGAAATAGCCTCCATTGATGTGTGTGTGTGTGTGTGTGTGTGTGTGTGTGTGTGTGTGTGTGTGGTGTATTAATTTTACATTCTTTTTCTTTTGTGTGCTTCTGTGTATAACTTTAGTTTGGTTTTCGTAGTTGTGTTCAGATGGTATAGATATATTTATATTTATTTTTTCACATGGCCATAAATTCTTGACAGTCACAATTTAAGATTGCTGGACAATATTACATTAAAAGGATTTATTGTACTTTACTGTACCTTCATTTTGGGCTATATGGCATCTTTCCTATTTTTCATAAATGGGTCATTTTATTATGTAAGATGTATTTTTCCATTCAGGGTCTTATTTTTGGAGGGAGGGGGGAGGAGGTTGAATTTGAGATTGTAGATTTCATTGCTATTACTCAGAGGCACAATGACAGGGAAAGTGAATGTGAGAGCATATGTTTATAACCTGTTTATTACCCCTTTGGGGTCTCAATCAGTGGTTTTCTACTCTAGCTGCACATCCTACTCTAGCTGATCCTGAGGAGATTAGAAAATTACCCCTAGAAAAGGGGAAATTTAACTTTTGAAGGTAAGGCAGTCATCTTATAGTAGTTTCTTACTTTTCTTTTTTCCTAAATGTTCCCAAGTTGTTCTAATGGCCAACACAATAACAACTGACCTAAGTAATTTGAAATATTTTCCTATCTCTGACACATACCTGGGAGTAATACAAAATCAAGGGAAAGAAAGGTACAATTTCAGGCAAGCCATCTAAATCTCCCTTTTAACACTGTATTAATAATGCAAGAGTACTTTGCGGGAAATATAAGACTTCTAGAAATTTCTGTCATTCACCTCAGTCACATAAACTGTAGAGATGAGAATCTTCTTGAGAGTTTCAATTTACTAATGTTTTAAAGAAATTGATTTGCTTCCAAGATATAGTGGTTAAAAGTTAGAGACATTGAGACTCCAGAATGTTCTAAATGTATCCAAATTTAGCCTAGGATCTGTTAATATTCTGCCTCCCTACCCACCTGGCATCCTAAGGTGTACCCCTATCATCTAAGTAGCTCCTGATCTGGAAGAAAGCTGCTATACTTTTGCAATGTGACTCCATTGGTGTGTGTCAGGATCATCTTGGACATTTAAAAAAATCTCGTGTGTATTCATTCCAGGCTCAGGAACTTCTGCTTCTTTAGTTTATCTTGCACACCAGACATCTGAGGTGTGCTAGTTCCCCAAGACTAAGCCTGGAAGACGAAAGTCTAACAGGGGCTCAGCTAGTGCAATTATCCAATGAGCGCTGGATAAATGCAGTGTCCAAGCTGGATAACGCAGAGAAAGGCAAGCATTTGCCTGGGTTATTCAGCTTTGCTATAAAGCCTTATCAGAGCCCCGTGAGAAAACGCAGCACTGTCTCTGTGATATTACCCACTGCCTTCTTTGTATTGTAGTTACTTTCATCAGGGTCTCATCCTTTTACCAGACAAAGAATGCCCAAGGCTGGAGTTCTTGCAGAAAACCCAGTACATGGCTCCCTTAAGAATAAATGGGAAAGTGTAAATAAATTAATTCATGAATAAATGTGGACTTTAGTTAACAGCATATGTTTATCTCTGCTGAACCTATTAATCTCTTTATATTAATTGACCCATGGAGAAAATAGTATCATCTTTGACAATATTTACAGGAAAACTTCTCCTATTGGAATGATAACTTGGTGAGAGTATGGGTTCACCCTTTTGACAAAGGAAGTAATGTAGTCTGAGCAGTTGGAGCCAAAGAATCCCAAAGTTGGAAGGGTCTTTAGGAAAAGCCAGGGCCAGGCACGGAAGCTTTTTGTGTCTTCAGTGTTTTAAGGAGAAGTTTCAAAGAAGAGAGGAAGCAGGTCTGAGGAAGAATAGAAGGAAGACAGGAGAGGGGGAGGACAGGGGAGGGGAACACAGGCTAGGGAGGGACAGGAAGAGGAAAAGGGTGGAGAGAAGGAGAGGAAGGGAGGAGGGAGGAGAAAAGCCTATTTGTTTCTGGAAGTTTAAAGATTACTTACGCTGGGAGAATTGAAAAGGACCCAGTCCACGGCTATTGTACATTATAATGTACTGTACATTATAAAAAGGATTTTTATAATGAGAAAAAAATATGTGTCATGTAAGTGTCATCCTGTGAAACTATAGAGATGCCTTTTGCCTCATTTGCACCTCTAGTACAGAAAGCACAATTGTCTACAGAGTACTTGGAGGCATCATAGATTCCTTAAGGTAAGTTGATTTCTTTTTATTTTGAGTTTACCTTAACAATAACTTTGGGGGGGGGGACAAACAAAAAAAACAACAACAAAAAACAATAACTTTGTTTCCTTATAAATTCTCTGCGATGTTTGAAGGAGGCTTTCCTTGTTAGCAGAAGAGTAAGTAGTCAGATATTCATTTTGGAGAGGTCACTCTGGCCACCACGTAGAAAATGAGTAGAAGCTGGGCGTGACAGACTGTGTTCTCTGTCGTCCAGGGGTGAGACCACACCCGGACTAGGAAAGCCCTAAGCTGGCCCCTGCGACAGAAGGACCTCACGGAGACAGGTGGATAGTGATGCCAGGTCTGCCTCGCAGGAGATACTGGGCAGCAGGATGGTCTGGGGGAGGAGAAAGCTGGCAGTTTGCTTTGTTCCTTGCCCTCTCCTCTATAGTTTCAGATGCCCACTGATCCCAGGCTACTGGCAGCTGCCTGGGGGCTTTTCCCAGGCAATTAATTCTCTGTTTTTCAAGTTTTCCAGACATATGGAAACATTCTCTCCTTAGCTGCTTGTTTCTTACTATCTTTACATGTATTTTATACCCAGAATTCTAAAAAGTTCTTAGGCATTTCTTTCCTGGACAACATAGGGTTGCAACAGGAATGATAATGTATTGGATGTACATGATGTGCCAGGCTTGGTGCAGCTATGTAGGAGGCTTTCACCTGTGTTGCCTCCTCTGGGTCTCTCAGTAACAACAAGAGGATGAGTACTTGCTAATGCTCACACTGTTAGCAAGAGCCAGGATTTGGACCCTGTTGGGTTTTCGTGATATCACAATACCTCTATATCATTCTAGGAAACATATGATGTTTAACAAGCTACCTTTGTAAATAATTCTTTTGCTCTAATAAATGAATTTAATGCCTAGGTAGGAGGGAAGGGAAAGAGAGGAGGTTTTCATTTGAATTAGTGGGCTTTTGGGAGCCCCTGAGTCATGTCATTTAGTCACTTTGATTGGGGGGGGGGATTTCCTTTTGCTGACACAATCCCTAGGAATTATTGGAAGGAGTTTGGCCTCTGAGATAATACCTGCTGATCTACTACCTTTCTTCTTCTGTCTTTGAAATTAGGAGACTTGGGAATCAAGATTCAAATGCAAATGATTCTGCAGCCTTACTTAGATCAGAAATTGGGTTAGTAATAGATACCTCTAATCTTCCTTAATAAGGTAAGTTGCACTAATAAAGTGCACTAGAAAAATGACAAAAATTGGTTGAGATAGTTTTATAACATTAAATTCATAATCAGCATTATAGGCTCATACGTCCTATTAACAAAGAAGAGCTGAGGAAAGTTATGACAGTCAGAGAGAAGACAGCACAATCAAAATAATGCTTAAAAAATGAAGTCATATCTTCAAGGAGCTCTCCTTATATGGTAAATGTTTTCTTTTTGAATGTTTTGTTTTTGAATATGCATTTGTTTATTGTGGTGGCTGAGTGTTAATTGTTAGGATGAACATGGGAGTAAGGTAGCTTTTGGGAAATATTAGAGAATGAAACAAGGGGATTTAGCAAAGACAGAGGTGGGAAGGGATGTCAGAGGCAGTGCCATTTATCTCCCTCATGGAGGCAGAGAGAGCCTTCATGTGCTCAGATGCCAACCTTCAGCTCCTGCTATGTCCCTGGGGATAAGTTGTTCTCTGGGAGCATTTGTCCCCTCAAAATAACATAAAAAGAACCAAATTGTGTAAAAACTCCAATTTTAGGGGCTAATTATTCCCTATTATGTGTATAATCTGTTGGCATCTTTTTGCACAGGGAAATTCTCAAGTAAGGGACGTCAGAGGAGAATGTGCAAATAACCAAACAAGCAAGCAGAGAGGGAAATTTTGTCAGAGAAGGATAGAAAAAAGACAACTATTGCTAAACCATCAGTCCAACACTGATGCTTAAAGGATCTGGCAGTTTGGCCACACCAGAACTTTCTAAATTGTTACTTTTTACACATGCAGCTCTTTGACCTAATGGCAGCTCTGACAATACACATCTTCTGGAGTGCCTCTCCTTCCATCTGTCCATGTCTGTTTGTGATGGTGGATGTCATTTTACCACATGTTCTGTGGTCTAAGCAAAGTTCTCCTTTGAGTGGAAGAAGGTCATAGCTGATGTGCGCTGTATGTCCAGTCCTACCCCCAAACTGGGCAATATTTCAAGAAGGCCTAGCAGCCTTCAGCAGAGTCCAGGCACAAAGGCTCAGGTGGCTCCCATGGGTTCTCAGGAGTCAGGGACGGTGCTAGAAAAAGAGGGAGGCAGATGCAAGTTGAAGGGCGCCTATGGAAGGGCAGCTGGGAGAAATCACTGAAAAGTTGACAACTACAATGATTTCAAGAAAATGTTCTAGTTAGAAAACAATATCATAGGGCATATCTTGTCTTTAGAACTAAAATAGGAAATCAGGTTAATGAAATTCAGAAGTTATTGTAGGGAGTTCTGAACTTTCACTGAGCATTTTGGAATTTAGTCAGGAGGCAGGCCACAGACACCAACAAATCACCAACATCCCTCTTCCCGCTGGCTCCATCCTGGTGAATTCCTGAGAAATCTGAGGAGAGATGGTGAAGGAGTGTGTGTGTGAGGGGAGGGGGCGCGGTGTTGGAAAGTTTGCTTATAAAAGAAGCCAATTAGGTTAGGCCATTACAAGGGAGACACTGCTCAGTGCACTGGGTCTCCCACAGGGATTCTCTGCCTGTTGTGACAATTGCTTGTGAACACCTTCCCACCCTGGCTGCAAGATCTCATGCAGGCCTTCCCCCATGGAAAACAGACAGCTTCCAAAGACTGTCTCTTAGGGGCTTCAGGTTACTTTAGGATCCCGTGGTAACACCGTGGGCAACACGGCACATTTTCTGTCTGCTAAGCTCCAGGGCAAGTCAGACACTATTTGTTTGGGTACTGGGAGGACAGGGCTTTATGAGCTTTACAACATCCAAATGTGGAGTCCTAACCAGAGGACAAATATTAGCCAGTAAAACTCTGCAGAGACCCAAGAGGGGAAATGGCAGTCATCCTGCAGGGTGAATAATCAGGCCCCAGGGGTCTGGCTAAGAAGTCTCTCTGGGCCCCAGAATTGTTGAAGAGAAGCTCTGCAGGACAGAGAAAGTGGACTAAAGAATTCCCTTCTCAGGAAACTTCCAGAGCCATAACTATTAAACACCTACTGGCTTTTAGCAGTTCTCCAAATATCCCTTTTACTAATGGGCCCAAGGTGTTGATTTTACAGTTATGAGACCTGGGGAAACAAATGATATTGGGAAGGCAAAGGGGCGTTAGCTTGGTGATGCACTTCGGGGCATTTTGAGGAACTTTAAGGGAGATAGCATGGAAGACAATTGGAGCAGCAGAATGATCCAAGCTGCTGACTCCATAGAAATGGAGAACTGTGTGGTTCACTGTCCTGCCCCCATTAATTCTGGAAGCCTGGACACTAGCTCGGTTCCTTACTCAAAAGATGTTGTGATCTCAGTTCTTTTTGTCTACATTTCTATTTTGATCTCCAAGAACTACATTCACTTTATCCTTTTGCAACAATTCTTAAAGCATGAGACTGTTCCCAGGAGGCCAGAAAGGTCAACAAAGCTTTATGTTTCTACCATGACATTTGGTGCCTATTTCAACTAAGGACTGAGCTAGCAGTCTTGGATTTCAAGAACTAGACACTCAATGATACTTCCCTGTTTGGGGGAGGGAGGCATATTAGTTCAGCAATCTGGGGCCTCTGGGATTTTGAGGTACAAACATGTAGAATCTTCCAATCCAGAGGGTTGTATCTTCTCTGCACAACTTCAGGGAGCTAAGTCTGGAAGCCTTTACAAAGAAATGAGAGCTGCAGTTTGGAAGAAAACTTGGGGCATTTTGAATTTGAAGCATTTATGAAACATGCAATGGAACTGTTTCTTGCAATCCAGAGGTGGGGAGGAAGAGCTGAGGGAGCCTGATTAATTTAGGGGCCTTGATGGTAACTGAAGCCAGAGAAGTTGATGAGTTTTTGCAAGGGCATGAGAACAGAGAAGGAAAGAGGATCAAGGACAGAACCTTGGAAAACATCAACAATTAGGGGACAGGCAAAGAGAACAGCAGCCTGGAAGGAAAGACTGGCCAAACAATAAGAGATGATTCAAGAACGCAATGTCCAGGAGACCAAGAGAAAGTCTGATTTAAGGGGGGAGTAGTTAGTGGGGATAAAAGTATCAAAGAACTTAGCAATAAGAAGGTTAGCATTGCTTAGACAGTGGGGGGAGGGACTGTGGAAGCCCAGGGACAGGAAACTGATAAAGTTGCAGTAGTTGATAAAGTGACCACAGTGAGAGGAGAGGTCACTCTCACGCCCTGCAAAGGGTTTCTTGCTGGAGGAAAAGTTTGAGTCAGCCAGGGAAGATGCAGTCTTCTTTTCTCTGGAGACACCGTGATTCTTACTCTCAGCCCATCTCCTCCAAGTGCCTTCATTTTCTTCTTCTGTTCATTTCTCCTCCTGTCTCTTCAAACTCCACACTCCTGAATCACACTAGAGTAGAATGTGCTCTGTACTTGAAGCCCAGCATACCTAGTTTGACTTCCCACCCACTCACTTTCTAGCTGTATAACCATTACTCTAAGGGTTGGCTTCTTCACCTTGAAAAGGAGGCTGGTAAGGATAGTCCCTTAGGATTATTTTGAGTTGTAAATGAAAGAATGTATTCACTATGCAAAGCAGGTGGTCAATCAAATGCTACTTTCCTCTAACTTCGAGACCTATTCAAATTTCTTTATTTCCTTGTCCTTTTATGCCTAACGTCCTAAATCACTGGACACACTGTTGTCATTTCTATCTCATCTTCCTCTTCTTAATGCCCAGCAATAGCTGCCCTGCCCCATCCCCACCACCACAGAGACCCTGAATTATACATAAGTAGGCTAAGGTCATTTGTTACTGCTCAGCAGCTGATTCTCCTCTCTTTTCTCATCTGATCTTCATGTCTTGCCTTTGGACCTCCGCTCCTTCCCTGACTTCCGTGGCCCTGAGGACTTACGGTTTTCCATTTCCTGACTGCTCAGCCCACTATCAGTTCATCTTCACCTGACTGTGGACCCCCCACTGGAGCCCCACCATGGTCCTCAGCTACCTCTGTCTATAATTGCCCAAGAACTCACCCATCCTGGTTACTTGAGTTAATATACAAAAGATCTTCACAGAGTGCCTACCACAGAGTAAATGCAGTACAGGTTGGCTATAGCTCCTTGTTAAATACACAAGCATTTGTGGCTTGAGGTGGAAGTGAAGGTGGGGGTGGAGGTGGAGGTGGGCTGATAGAGGAAGCATGCTTTCCCAGAGTCCTTAGGCAGGTTTGGCCAAAGCTGGGGGACTTGCAGTAAGGGATAGTAGGGGTGGCTGATGAGGTCAGACAGACAAGGACCCTGATGTCAATTTTACTAGAAGAATTTTCCTTGTGGGAGTTCAAAGGCCCAGAAACAGTGGCCAAACAGAGGACTCAGAACATCACCTAGTAGCAATCAGGGAAGCTGCTGGCATGGCAGGTCTACCAGTTCTCCTTCCAATGAGGTGCTTCTGCCCTTTACGTAGGGACTGCTCTGCACAAAATGCCACCACTAATATGCCTTGTAAAGATGATGCACGCTGCACCAACCTTGATTCTCCAGAACATTATCTGTTCTTTAGCAGTTTACCACAATGTCACGGCAGCTGGTTGACTAATTGCACATTGCTTGCTGCTCTTCTAGGTATGTCCATGTTAGTGTGTCTGCCTCAGTCTTGAGGTTCAGAGTGCAGATCACAAGCCCAGATCTGAGAACTGAAGGTGAGCACATCTGTGGGTTCTCAGTCCCAGTCAGTGCTGACGGTGAGGGAGGACTCTGCGACAAGTTCTCCTGTCAATGCATCAAAAATATATTTTTTTCTAAGTAAAAAGGAAAATAACATCTGTGAGGTTCAGGACAGTTGCAGCTTTGCGATGATCATGAAAACAGTCAGCATCAATGCAAGCTATTCACCCTCCTCAGATTTCAACTGGCCCAGCAGCACATTTGGATTTATCCTTAGCTGAAGTATGGCACCTCCATCTGCTGCTGATTCTCACTGTTTCTTCTTTGTTGTTTTATTACCAGTAGAGCTGCAGGAGACAAAGCCTTCATTCTTTCTTTGTCCCGAGACCACTGTCAGTACAGAAAGGTATGCACACTCTCTCTTCTCTCTCTAAGGCAATAGAAATTATGCTCTTGATTTATTTCCAAATATCCCTTGAATTTACCTGTTCATATATTTCTCAGCTTTCTATCACATACTTAATTGGTCTGGCTGGTTTTTACAGCCACATCTAGCAGGTGATTTTTTTCTTTCTTCTTCCTTTCTTTCTTTCTTTCTTCCTTTCTTTCTTCCTTCCTTCCTTCCTTCCTTCCTTCCTTCCTTCCTTCCTTCCTTCCTTCCTTCCTTCCTTTCTTTCTTTCTTTCTTTCTTTCTTTCTTTCTTTCTTTCTTTCTTTCTTTCTTTCTTTCTTTCTTCTTTCTTTTTAAATACAATCTAGTGAAAGGTTGCAGTGTAGTGTAGTCAAATATATTTTGTGTTGGCAGGAAGGAACCATCACAATGTTTCAGCGGTTTCTCAAGAGGAAGTGTTGAACTAAATGGAAGTTTGGTTGAGTTAGCCCTGCTTTTAGCCTGTGCTGTTAGCTAAAGAAAGCTTCTAGGAAGGGTGTTTGTATAGTTTCCTTTTTTAGCTTCACATGGGTTAAGAGGCTTTTGTATTCAAAGCAGACTCTGTAGTTATTTTCTCCCTGCAACCTTGGCAGTTTGGCAGTTATCCACCACTTCTACTTTCCGGCAGCCCCTGAGGGAGCCCAGAACCAATCCTCACCTCAGGCAGAGGAAATGAGGCAACTCTGGGACTCAGCGTAACCCTTGGGTATGATCTGATCTGATCTTGTGCATTGACTCTAAAATTGGGCATCGCTCTTGTGCCTGAGGTTTGGTCTCTACCTCATTCAGGGAAATGGACCCCTGTTTTAGCATCTGCGGTCTGAGTGTCTGTGTCCAAGGCTTTGCCCAACATTTGGGCTCTTCAAGACTCAGGACCAGCCTGCACTGGCCAGGCCTCCTCTCAGGTCTAAAGTCCTCTCTTTGCATTGTGGCTCGGCAGTAAAGGGTCTGGCTGCTTGCACACTGACCTACCCATGAATTCTTCCTTCCTCCCCAGTTGTTCAAGGAATCCCTAGAGTCTGTTTTTGATCCCCCACACCCCTCAACTCCCTAGTGGACAACCTGTTACCATCTTTTTTGATGACCCTGTCTGTGGGTCATGCCTGCTGGATCCCATGCTCTGCCTATGATAAGGGACTTTCCCCCAGCTTCTGTAGCTGACAGCATCCCTAAAGGTTTGCCACACCCCAGGCTGCCTTCTCATTACAATACACAAGCCCTGTTGGTCTTGAGATGGGAGAAGTGGTGGTCTTCATGGTCAAAAAGTTTAAGGACTTGATTGCTTTCAAGTCTATTTGTACTAATTCAGACTTTTCCTTGGCCTCTTAGTTTTCTTTAGGATTCTGTCCCAATCCAGGTTCTATGGTCAGGCTCTTTAGATTAAAGAGGTTCTATATGGCCATAGGGACAGGTCTCCATCCTTTTCAAAAAAGCCCTTTTGTAATAGAGCACTTCCATGAAAATTTATCTGGCTGGTCACATACCAGTCTCAACTCCCTTGCCTTGTCTCCTATCCCCTAAGCTCTGTGTGTTAACCCTGACTCTAGTGCTATGCCCATCCAGAGCTGTCACATAATTGTGACATCTAATCCAGATCCATGTTTGCCTCACAGACTTGGTTTGTGCCTGCTGCCTGTATAAACTCTAGCATTGCAACACTGTCCTTTCTGATTTGGGGTTTAATCCTTCTTTCCTGGTCCTGCCAACCAATAGAAACTTCAGTTCTCTATGAAATTGGTTAAAACACTATCTCCAAGCTTCTGATTTTGTTGTATTCCCTTTCTCAAGTCAGGCTTCCAGACTTCCAGTCTCTTCATGGCTATCTCCCTGAACTGTATCAGCAGCCTTGTTCTGTCTCATGAGCTCTAGAATATGTGCTTCTTATTCAGCTAATGTCCTCACCATTCTTCTTATAACCCAAGTAGAAACCTCAGATTCGCTGTTGAAACAGATCAAAAGGAGAGAGCCACCATCAGTGCAATCAGCATTAAGGCCCTTGGTCGTTTCAGAAATAGGATATGACCCTCAGCTCTGTACATGAGAAATTTCATGTTGTCAGTCTACTCCTAAGCCTCAAGAAATCAATTTACAGAAACCAAACTCATATGGAACAAATTTTTAACGCAAAATTCTGATTTGTGTATTTATAATGGGGGATTCTACTTTCCCTTTATTGGAACTTTCTAGTTCACAATCCATAGTTCACTCTTCCAGAGAGGCCTAAGAAGATGGGTTATCAGAAAATTCCTGGTAGGCAGAGACTCAGAGTAAAGGAGTGGAGTGATTTTTGAGAGATTTTCATCATAAATATGTCAGAATAATCTAAGAGTAATCAGTATTTTTGTAGAGTATGCTTTTCTAGCAAACACCAAGAGAAATCTGCTTTTTTAAAAAATATATTTTTATTGATTTCAGAGAGGAAGGAAGAGGGAGAGAGAGATAGAAACATCAATGATGAGAGGGAATCATTGATTGGCTGCCTCCTGCATGCCCCCTACTGGGGATCGAGCCCACAACCCTTGACCGAAATCGAACCTGGGAACCTCCAGTCTGCAGGCCGATGCTCTATCTGGTGAGCCAAACTGGCTAGGGCGAGAAATCTACATTTTATACCCTATATGAATGTGAGAATTGAGGTCATCAACTCATTCTCGTGGTCAGTGGAATGACAGATGTTGTAGCTAGATCATTTACTATTCAGGAGAGTGAAGCAGCTATGGAACACTTACCAGTGCCATGCACTCTGTGAAGTGCTCTTGCACTCTCTCTTTCTCATTTAGTCTTTACAACAACTCTATGAAATAGATGTTATATATCACTGTTGTGGTTGAATTATGTCCCCCCAAAAGTTAAGTCCAAGTCCTAAACCCAGGTAATTGTGATTGTGACCTTATTGAGAAACTAGAGGCCCGGTGCACAAATTCATACATGGGTGGGGTCCAGCCTGCCTGCCCCAATCGGGGCCGATCGGGCCAGACCGGCCGGCGGGGAGGGGATGCATGAGGTTGGCTGGCTGGCCCCACCCCCTGGTTGAACTCCCAGTCGAGGGGACAATTTGCATATTAGCCTTTTATTATAGAGGATAGGATCTTGGCAGATTTAATTAATAAAGATGAGATCATACTAAACTAAGATGAACTCTACCCCAATGACTGGCATTCTTTTAAGAAGAGGACAAGACCCAGAGACACAAAATACATAATGGGAAGATAATGGGAAGACATAAGAAAAACATTATGTGACAGAGTCAAGAGATTAAAATGATGCATCTATAAGCCAAGGAATGACAAAGATTTCTGGTAACACCAGAAGCTAGAAGAAGCAAAAAAGGATTCCTCCCTAGAGACTTAGAAGGAAGCATGGCCTTGCTGACACTTTGATTTCAGACTTCTAGCCTCCAGAACTGTGAGAGAATAAATTTCTGTTGTTTTAAGCCACCCAATTTGTGGTACTTTGATAAGGCAGCCCTAGGAAACTAATACAATCTCCATTTTATAAATGAAGTAATGGATGCTCAAAAATTCTAATTTAGTCTAAAGTGCTTAGAGCTTCCTGACTCCAAACATTTGAACACTTGCTTGTTGATTTGGCCCATTGGGGAGTGGTGGGTGGGCAGGTAGAGGTTTTTCTTTCTTGTCTATCAAAACTATCTTCCAGATATATTTTATAATAACACTAGAGGCCCGGTGCACAAAAATTTGTGCACTCGGGGGGGAAGGGGGGGTCCCTCAGGCCGGCCTGTGCCCTCTCGCAGTCTGGGACCCCTCGGGAGATAACGACCTGCTGACTTAGGCCTGCTCCTGGGTGGCAGAGGGCAGGCCCAATCCCTAGGTGCAGCCCCTGGTCAGGCTCAGAGCAGGGCTGATTGGGGAGTTGGGGCGCCGCCCCCTGTCATGCACAGAGCAGGGCAGATTGGGAGGTTGCGATGCCACCCTCAGTCACCCTCAGGGTAGGGCTGATTGGGGGGTGGGGCAC